TTTGGTGGCAGGCGCAGTACTTTGTGGACCTTGAAGTGCAGATTTGGCGGGAGGCGCAGCAAATGTGCTCTCGTGTGCGCAAGCATCTCTCTCCACCTCTGGACCTCCTGGTGCAAAGAGCTTTATTGGAAAGTAAATTGGATATTATTGCAGATTCAGCTTGTCTGTGTCTTGATCTTCCACATCAAGGTGGGATAGCTAGTCTTCTTTTCCTGCTCGTTGTGAGAGACCTGTCGTTCACAAAGATAGAACGCAAGAAAACACATTAAGCTACAATATTGTTCATGATACTTATCGATAATTGCTTAAGGCTTAAGTGTCAAATAAGTCATATATTATACTATATTATAATGTTAACATCACAATATGTAATAGTACACCACGACTCAATTATAAACCAAAAAATATCCTGGCTACCGAAACATTGCAAAATCAACTGCTGTAAGTTAAACAATTTGAGAGCGAGTCAATTATAAAATGTAAACAATTGTGTAAACATGACAATTGTATGATAAATTTTAAGAATTGATAAACTGAATACGGTCAATTATAGACTAAATACGGTCAATACAATTATAAACAATATAAGCTTGACTTAATCCTCTACAATAATATACCTACTTTAAACCTCTTCTACATTTAGCAAAATAATTAACATATATTAACATATTACGACAATCAATTCATAACACATCGTTTTGCCGCAAACAAAAATCACTGGGGGAGGTGATTTTATTGCGATGCGAATATGACGTTGTTTACTCTTGAACGTTGCTGGGCGAAGCGCTGCCCCTCCCAGGTCCCCGACTCCTCACCCCCCCCACGCCCGCAACAATCGTCGGCGCCTCCCTGACGCAGCGGCGACTGCCGTAAGTGGGTCGCCGCGGTCGCCGCATGCTGCGGTGTCGAACTAGTGGTGGCAGCAGGCAGCCTGGAGAAGATTATTTTCTATCATCCAACGGGGTAAATCATTGATATAGTTATATATTAAGATATGATGTTCCATAATTAATCAGCTATCACTTTCCATCATCATCCTATTCAAGAAGAGATGATGTTCCTGTAATACAAAGATCCCTGATCGCCCCGATCGGCTGGGTAGACGGGTCTATTGTCCGAACCTTCCGGGGGGTCGGAACGCCTGCGGTTCGGTCTCCGTCGATACTTGCACTATGAAGACGATGAGGGAGCGGCCAGTAGCGCGCCACAGCCGATCTGCTGCTATGGTTTCAGGTTTCATAGTGAACCTCCAGCAAATTGAACGGCATGACTGCCTGTAGCGCCTCCTGACCCACGAGGTTCCTCCATGTTCCTCCTAAGAAAGAATGCTGTACATTATCCATCATCTCAATTCCCTCCAGGGGCATAAGTTGCATAAGAATCTGAGTCAGGAGAATCCCTTCCCCATGCCAGTTACCCTGTCAAGATGTTTGATGATGGTCCCGATCTCTTTTGTCGTGATTTGCAAATCGCAATACCCAGGCGTTTTTGGTCCCAAAGTGAGTGGAGTAGCTGGGCACCCCGACTTCCTCCGTTCGTTCGGCACCCGACCTGTGACTCCTGGACCAGTAATTTCATTGTCCTCCTCGCCGCGATCCGCCTTTGTCCCAAATCCTCTCACTCCACACCACATGACACCACACCGCCAGTCAACCAGACCACCCGCCCGGTCCTTCCCCGGGGTCCTTCCCCCTTCCCCGCGTCCTACACGATACACTCTCGCCTGCTGGCGACAAAGGCGTCCATCTCAGATGAGCTCAGATGGAGTGTTGAAGCAGATCAGCTTCCTGACGAGGTCGCCCGAGTCACGGAGCAGATCCGATCGGGACGTTGATGAAATTAAGTGTTGGTGCTTGCACCACGCACTAACACAACCAGGCGGTATGCAGAAAGCACCTGTCCGCGAAGGAAGCCACTACAAGAGCTTTCGGAAAACACCACAAGGCTGCTTCAGATGTCTTCATTCCACAAACCCTGCAGTTTGCTCCACAAAGCAACCAAAATCACAAACGGACCCACCGTATCTTGCGACCGTCTGCTAGTTCTCCCACGCATACCGACGGGCAGACGGCTCGCACCGCGGGAGGTTCTCCCGCGGTCGCGGCCTGGCCTTCGCCGGGAAAAAAAGCCGCAACGCGTGTGGCGTGAGCCGGGCTGAGCTGCGGTCACAATTTGATCTGCTTGGAGCTCTAAGAAGCGGAAAAAAAAAGGCATACACTTGTTGGCTTGGGATGAATATGGGTTGGATATACATGGTTACATGGTTACATCGGGAGGGACTTCAACAGGTCAAAAGGACGGGCTGCAAATGTACTTGTGGGAATCAACAGACATCACGCTTTCGGAACAAAAGGACCACAGCAGCAGATACTGCAGTAGCTGTCTCAGTCCCAAATAAACCTCCACTGGAAAAGACTGGGCAATCGTGTTGTCCATTCCTGTTGCCAATCTATACAATCAAAGCCGGGTAATTTGTTTGTGGTTCTACTGCAAATCTCTTCCACTACAGTACACATATATATATATATGCTAGCCCCCCCCCGGACCTACCTTTTATGTGTTTGACCAGATGTGAACCATTTGAGATGTGTTTGGTCAGATGATTTGTTTGAGCAGATGTGTTTGATATGAAATATGGAGTTGTGCAAGGAAAGTTCGCCCAACTGTTTCCACCCAAGAGGTCTTCATTGACCACTGTTTCCTTTCTTATTGTGTCAAAAAATATATATATATATATATATGGCACCCCCACAATCCCTTCAACCAAAAAATGATCTAAAACTTGTACCCAAAAATCAATGTCAACATGTGCATAATTCACCATAAATACCGCTGAAAAGTACAAAAGGGTAGGTCCCGGGGGGGGTACCATATATATATATATATAGTCACTATGGCGCTCTCACCAATCGGAGCCTGCGAACACACAGTGTGCACTGGTCACTTTCCTCTGGGGGCCGTTGGTGGTATAATAGAGCGTCATACAACCGAATCCCACAACAAGGGCGACGGTCAGCTGGAGTGAAGTTGATCAAACAATTCATGGTATCGTATGCCAGGATCCTCAAGTGCTCTTTCAGTCAGAAATTTTGGATGGTCAAAAAAAGAGTGGTGACTGTGGTATCGTCAATCCCATATCCTCCCCGGCAAGCGCTATTGTGTTGGAGGCGCTAGTAGGTTGGAGGCCATCGCTAGTTTGGTCAATCCCACATCCTCCCCGGCAGTCAGTTTTCGGCCCCTGGTGATAGCGAGATCCGCTGCACGCGGCCCGGAAGCTACGCTGCCACTCCTATGGGACCAATGGTCATTTGCTCACTGCTCCTGATTGGGGATACGGCTGGCCATTCGCCAGCGTTGAAACAGAATAATGTAAATGTAAATAATTAGTACTACTTGGAAGTCCCCGGATTTGAAGTGCCTTGATGAACCTGAGTCTCTGAAAGAACCTGGTCATATCTATCAAAGACTGCCGTCCCCTTGGTGGGTAGAAACCTCTCCTGACAACATCCTGCCGAGCAGAAAACTGTTTGACCTTCTCCAAAGCTGTTTTGGTATATAGAACCATCCTGGAGTCCCAAAACATTACCAGCTTCCTATGTTTTTTTGGTTTTGCCATATGTACTCCAGGATGACTAGCTTCCTATGTACTCGTCCACAGAACGGTCGCGCTCCACTCGCTGGGATCCTTGCGGTCGAACTCCGGTCGCGCGTGCGCAGGACCCGGTGGAGTCTGAGTCGTGGAACCAAAAACACCCTTCGTACCATGCTTTGGGACAAGCGTACCTGAGGACGAACATGGAACCCAAACCTCCCCACCATTTGAATTTGTCCCTCGCGGAAAAGGGATGCACTTCGGATGAACATCCGCTATATACTCACCATGTGAAAACGGTTGAAGATACGCAATTCTATCCGATTCTGGTCGACCTATTCAGGTGCATGCCGCCCCCAATCCAGGCGCAAACTACAAGCACCGCACACACGGTGCTCCAAGAAGACACGCTCCGGTGCCAGATTCACCTCGGGCTTCGGACCGAGGACTGCCTTACAGTGGTCTCAAGATGCAAATTGCGCAGATCGGCGGAAAGGGGTGTCCAATGTGTATGGCTGTCCTGTCCAAATCAACAAGTTCATGCCCGCAACAGTTAAAGGTTGACAAGCAACATTATAACATCAAACAACTCACAAATACCAGGCATTTACACCTGCACACCGTTGGAACATGCTTTGGCTCTGCCTAGCTGCCATTTCAGAACCGTTGCCGGATCACAGATTCTGGTCCTGCCGGTTTTGAAACTTCAAGCTGGGTTGCACTCCCTGGAGTCCTCATGGAAGTGGAAAATCTGTTTGTACAGAAACATGGCTGCCCTTCCCGGACCATGGCATCCACGCAACCATGACAATTCCAGGGAATGTAAGATTTTTGGTGACCAACACAAAGGCCAACAACGCCGGCATTCTTCCGGACACTTCCCTCCCGCTGGCTGAGTCGCCCGTGCTTGGCGAATCGACCTGGCGAAGAAGAGTGAAGTACATGCGGTGGGGAAGTTGGGGATGAAGCGTGAGGAGTTGGGGGACGAATGCACATCTTCGTGGCCGTTCTGGGTGGGATATAGAACAGTCTTCCATAACCCTGTCAGGTGTATACACAGACGGAACAAAAGTTGGCACCAAGCCTCTGAATACATGAATTACAGCCTTACAGCCCTTCCCCTTAGAATCCTACAGGGGATCGCAGTGAAATTCCGGCGGACTAATGTCCACCCCAAAATAAACAGAAGGAGACGCTGTCACGCCCCACGTTTTCCACGTTTCTGGAAATACCGTGAATTATAAACATGCATTGTATTGTCTTTATATGCCTTTATATACAGCAATCTTAGCGACATTGTTTGGCTGATCCCAATTGAAAAAAGACAGCAAGGTGTACGAGAGTAGAAACTTTCAACAAAGGGTAGGAGAGCAGGGTCAATAAAAAAAACACTGACTTCCGTAAAGTGTCGCAGATTAGGAGCCTTTGGCAAAGGCCAGGAGGAGGGTCGACTATAATTTTTTGAAAATCATGTTTTCCGGTTGATTCCCCTCCCAAGAAAGAAACTCCAGCAAATGCAGGAGAGTTGGATATTTGTTTTTCAAAAAGGCCTGTCGTGGGCGGCAGAAAATTGAGACACTTGGGAAATATATCATATATTGGAGGAAATTTGACCAAAGCCGCAGCTTACCACTGGCTTTGCTGCATGCGTGGCATAAGAGGACGTGTGCCTGTATTTGGCTGCGTTTATCTGCTGCACTCTAGAAGCACAGATGAATCTGGATCAATCATACTTAATGTAAAAGCAACAATTTTCACAGCAAGACTCCTCAGGAAGTACTATTCAATCTGAATTCGCGTGAAAACCAAAAAACAAAAACAAAAAACAACGAAAACAACACAAAAAACACTGCTTACACAACTAGTCTGATCTCTGGACTAGTTGCCAAATCTCTTTTTTTGTTGTTTTATGTCTTTTTGTTTTTTTCAATGATTCGCATGCCACAGTCCTGGCTCTGAGCTCCGGCCGCCCCCCATTTTCAACAATAGTAAAAATAGGCAAACTAGTGCACATTTTCCAAAATAAAAGAAAGGAAACCAGTAGGTCCGGTCACCCATTTTCCTTTTGAATCATACTTAATGTACAAGCAAAAGTTTTCACAGCAATACTTCTCAGGAAGTACTATTCAATCTGAATTCTTGCGAAAAACAAAAAACATATTATTGTCCTTTGTGTTTTTTTTTTCGCATGTCCAACTCGATTTTTCTAATTTTGGTTTCTATTTTTCCTGAAAAAGTATGCGCTTCAAAGTGCAATCTGTTCATACCTGAGTTTATTTCATTTAGGATTTGCAAAAAACATCAACAAAAAACAATAACATTTGTCTCAATTTTCTGCCGCCCACCACAGGCCCCTCTCTTTTTTTCAGTCGACCCTCCTCCCAAGAAAGAAACTCCAGCAAATGCAGGAAAGTTGGAGCCTCCAGCCAAGGCTCGTGGAGCAGTAATTTTTCAAAACACAATTTTCACATGTTTTTTATCTACAAAACCTACTTTAGACTGAAGCATGCTGGTATTACAGTATATCGTGTTAAGGTTGGTGATTTCATTAACAAGGCTGAAGATGAAAAGAACCCGAGGGAGTTGACTTTTTTAACAATATTGGAGGCTGGAGAGCGAGCAAGTATGCGGATATTAAGCTACCTAATGAACTTTGCCAAGTTGTAGAGAATCAAATTGTAGAAATACAGCATCTAAACTTATAGGAAGTCAAAATGAGGCGTATGATACCAATGATATTTTTAGTGAAATTGAGAAAGTGGGCCAGGTAATGATTAGGATATTTTTTGCAGGAGCAAGCAAAAGTCACATCTGCCAGAAAATGGTTGATAAAGGCTGCGCAATTCTATTTGGGCCGGGCAAGCCTTGCTAGCTTGCCCTCGCATCGGCATCGCAGAGATTCTTGTTCTGTGTGTGTGTGTGCAGTTTTTGTGACCAAGCCTTAAGAGCCTTTTCTTCCTTCTTCTGCTTTCAACCTCCATCTCCTTTCGATCCTGGCAAAAAGACCAATGTGTTTGGATTTGGGTTGACAAAGGTTCCTTCAGCCCGCTGTCCTTCTGTGGGTTCTTCTGTGGACAGCGTGGCGTGGCTGCGAGACCTCTTCCAGCTTCGCCTCGCTCGCCTCGCGTCTCTTTGTATCTCCTCTTCAAGCGCT